AATTTGAGTTTAGTTCACTCATAATCGCCAAAAGTGCAGGAACTCATTCATTCAGGGACATTCATGGCCGCTTACGCACACCTTGTAGATCAGACCGGAGATACGTTTGACACCAGCACGGCGAGCCAGACGACCGATGGCGGTTATCTCGAAGAACTTTGCGATGACGCTTGGCGCCTCCTTTACCATACCTTTTCCTCCTTTGCCACGACCAGTCAATTGTTGCTTGTTAGGTGTGAAGGAGTGGACTAGCCACCATTTTCCTACTGCTGCTGCTGTTCACCATGCCGTCCGAAGCGAAAATGAGCTAATGCCATACAGCAGCGCTCTTTTATATCTTTTCAGGTTAAAGCAGAATGATGTGCAACCAAGTGGTATAAAAGCTACAAAGACTTCTCCCATTATGAGTAGTTTGCTATCAAGTAGCGACACTGGCTCTTTTCCTTTTGCGTACACGGCGAGTGTGCAAAATATTACGCAATTCCATCCTCCCTATTCGCACGTGCCCGAGGATCAAAGGCGAATGCCACTTCGACTTGTTTCGTCTACTTACTACTCTCTGACGACTGTGCTGGGGAAGCAGCATGTGCATGTAGGTAATTGGTGGATTTATTAGTTAATTCGACGCTATTGGACAATGCTCGACATTTATCAATTTTTCAATAATTTCTTGTTGAAAATCAACATTATTATCAATACGTAGCCATATTTCTGATCGATTGGTGATAAAATTATTTAAATTGAACCAGAGGCAGCTGAGTTATTAACGTTCAAAATCTTTCTTAATTTGTTACATGTTCCATTTTCGGTTTTCACAAAGTGTACCCCCATATAGAAATCAAAGACGTAGTCCTACGTCAAAAGTCTTGTTCTTCATCCAACGGTTCCCTGAGGATGATGTCAATGTGATTGGCTGAATCCCGCAAAAGTCATAATTACAGTCAAACCCTGACTTATGAATCCCAATAGAAATTCCATTGAATCCTAAGAGGGATGCAGAGGAATTCCAAGTCGGTTTCCCTTTTATTAAAATAGGATTTTTGGCGAAACCCAGGAGTGATTTAAGAATATTCCATTGCGGAGACGAGCCAGCCAACGGCTGAAAGTCTCCTTAATAAAGATATTAAAAAAAAAATAATATTCCAAAAAAAGAACGCGAAACTTACAGCATAAATTCACATTTTTAATTTTTAATAAAAATATCGAAATATTTTTCAAAATAAAATGTTGAAATCCGTTGTTATGTATCTGCAGTAAAGTATCTGCAAATAAATTGTTCTACATTTTTTTCAAACACTATGCTAGTACATCTAAAATATCTAAAAAGTACATGATTGTAAGTAAATAACCTGGCCTAAAAATCTACAAAAACTTTCTCGAAGGCACCGGTTCAGGATATCAAGGAAATGACCGAATCAGCCATTTTGGCAATTTCGAATACTTCATACGTCCAATCTAAATAGTTCCATGCATATAAATCATATTTTGTTCTCATGTTTAGCGATTGTGATTGAGAAAGAAATTTGAAGCACTTCTGATGACAATGCAAATGAAGTTCAGTCAGAATCATTAAGTAATTTGGCTTTCCTATTACAATTAAAGAAAGAAAATGGACTTTTTTTAAACTTTGAACCGTTTTCCGGTGGTTACTTGTGTTCAATCTGGACCGTTTCAGGGCAATTCAAAGTAGATCAGCATAGTTTTCATCTGCAGCTAGTCGCATCTAGAGTTTACCGTGGAGGCACTATATTCAAAACGGTTCCTAAGTCGACGCAGTCAATGATGTTTGACTATTTCAATCAGTGTTGGGAAATTATCAAAAAATCTAATCTCACCATAGAATAAGATCACGCTTGATTTTCGTAGACAAAAATTAACAACTGCAATTGATATTGCAAGCTGTGATATCGCAGCTCGAAATATCAAGCAAACAAAACTCACCAGCTGCGAATCTCACCAAACTGTGGTGAGATTGAGTTTCATGATTTTTGCTTTACACCTGAACGCAACCGAAGCTTCCATAACGGCTGGCAGTAGTCACTTCGTGTCTGCCAATCGTGAAGAGATAAAAGAGATAGCATTGTTATACCTTCTCTTTCTAATAAAACAAAGTTCAACGGAATCATTTTTGCCTCCCTTAAAACCTCAGCTTCAACTTTACACGCTGTGAATAGTCTCACAATATAAAAAGGAGCTTGTAGAATCAATATCAAGCATGATATTTTGTATCAATATCACGCGTGATATGGAGCGTGTATGAGAGCTAATGATTGCGCCATCACTGATTTCAATCATTATTTTTGAAACGTTACTTCTGCAAATTTTAGTTCCAGTGCTCTAAAGATGATGGTGTAACAAAGTTTTAAAAACTATATTTACAAAATCGAGATGCGATCAAAAATAGAAGACTGTGTCATCATTAGAAACGCATCAAATATGGAGCTGACGCTGTAGTTAAGAATTGAATTTTTGACAGGCAAAGCAAAACAGGTGTCAACTACAGCACCAAAATCCAAATTTTCAACTTGAATGTGAAATCTGGGCTGTTAAAGATCAGCGAAACATGGTGAATATCAATGGAGAACTCCCAGAATCTGCAGGTATTGATCAACCGTCGCCTGCGGTATATCATTCGTGCCTGGTGGCCTCGCAACTGAATATCGAATGCTGTGCTTCATCCGATCCGATATCAATTTAAATTCGAGAACTTACAGGGTGCGTGACGAATTTTTGCAGTAAATGGCATATTTGAGAAAAAATACATCAGTTAGTTATTCTAGCAATGAATTTTGTGCGATTTATTTTCTTTCGCTACACATGGAAGTTGTAAGTAAATTTATTCAAAAAAAAAATCCCTTCCATTTCGACGACTGTAGTTAGACGCTTCCGGAAACTGCAGTATGCACGTTTTAAAATGTTTCGATCCATAGATGTCATCACTGCCTTGATTTTAGCTTTTAGTGACTTAAGTGTGGTGTGAGGGGTTCTATTGGTATCCCGTTAGACGACGCCCTATGCAAAATAATCCAACGGATTGATATCGGGACTGCTTGGGGGCCAAATTTCTTCCTCCCAAATTTACGAAATATTTTCCGTAAGCCATTTCTGTGCTTTATTAGCAGTATGAGCAGGTGCTCCGTCTTATCACTTTCCCAAGCCTTTTTTAATATTATACACTGTTCTTTCAGACACATTTACCGACCGAATTATTTCTTTCATGCATACTCCGGCGCGCAACAAAGCGACAACGGCTGACAGATTGCTCTCTTGTTTCGACATCTTTACGTTTACTCAACATTGTTTGTTTAAATCTTACACCTAACAGTATAAGCTATCCAGTGCTGCCAAATATATCTAAATCATGATGCACAAGCATGAGAAATTACTATTTGAAATTTACTGCAAAAATTCGTCACGCACCCCGTATGTGGAGCTAACACCATGAAGGGGTGGAATCGAAACCTGCAAGCAAGTGCTGGATTGGAACCCATCAGGACATCACATCTAACCAAGGGGCTCATGACGACAGAGTCTCAACAAGGAAATCAAACAATCCGATCGAAATTTGGACTGGGCCAAGATAAAAGCTAAAGCAAGCAGCCATCGAGGATGGAATTCTTTCACGTTGACCCTTGCAGGACACCTATAAGTACACGTTACAAAACACTACAAATTGATGATTCCGTTGAGCCTATTTGCATTTTTCCCACATTAGATTACACCGTCGCAACAACGACAACAGCAACTTTAGCAGCAATGGCTCGTGAGTGGTGTGCTCAAGAAAATATGATTACTATGCTTATGGTTGGTGGCAAATTTGCATAAACACATAGATTGGTCGAGGCAGGAAGGTTTGCATAATATCTGAACGAGATGTATACCTTCTATTAGTGTTGGGAAAATCTTGACTGGAGTCGTCGGTTGCTTCTGGCGTCCATCTCGTTTGTCGGTTCTTGTTAATGAAAGAGCAAACAAATCTGACTCCACTCAGCTTTGAAGTGGGAAAACACTCAACGTTAAACGGTGGACCATCACTTCAGAACAATCCACATGAAGTTTGCTTTGAAACAATATCTTAAAAAAGCGATAGATCCAATTGAAATACAACACGCCTCAAATCAATGCAGCATACGATCATTGCATGACTAAATAGAATTGAAGCATGGAAAAAGGTGAATCCAAAAGAAAACTACTACCGTTCGCAAGCAACCCATCCTTTCCACACACACACACATAGTGCGATGCATAATTGCACCGAATGGCGTGCAATTTCTGCCTTCTTTGGTATTGCTTTTGCTCCACCGCCGACTTCCACTGACCACTGAATGACTGACTCACTGACTGACTGACTGCCATGCCAGCCGCAATCGGCCAGACCCTACTGGCCCAATTTCCGTGGGAGATGACGCGATCGTAACAAGATTCGGTTACGTGGCTTCCCCCCTAATTGGACGGGAGATGCCTTCCTGCCTAGCTGGCTGCAATCCATTCGTTCAGGGAAAAGAAACGGGATAATGTCGAGCGGAAATTCGCTGCCATTGTGGTGGTTAAACAGCTATTTGGGGCCTGGGTGGGTGCCGGTGGTGGCTCGGTGATTTTGCGACCGCAGCCGATGCCGGGTTGGTAATTGGCACTTGCGTGCGATGTGGCCCCTCTTGTTTGAACAAGAAAATGACGTGCAATTACCTTTAGCAGCAACGAACCGTTGCACTCGGTATCGATTAAAATTGAAGTGGCTGGAAAGATATGAAACTGACGATCCTTTGTTTGAGATTTTCTTAAAACTAAAATCGTTTAAACCTGTAAATCGACGTAACGACCACGCTAAATCCCATATCATAATTAATGACAAACAAATGTTTAATCATTACCACCAGATGAGCAGACTTCAGAGGTACCTAGTCATGATTCACAAATGCATAAAAACTTCTAAATTACGATAATGCCCCCCGGGAGTTTGACGTCAATCCAATTACAAGCCACCCGATGATGAATCATACCTGGACGTTGTAGTTTAGATCGATTTTACTAGACAGCAAAAACATGGTCTGCTGCTGTTGCTGCCGACGATGATGATGATGACAACGATAGGGGGTGAACGATGGATGATGTTTGTAATTCACGTAATTTGATTGATTGGTTTTCACCGACAACTTCGAGCGGTAGCGGGAGGTCAAACTAGCAATAGTGCATGTATTCAATTAATACCAACCTGAAAAGAGAAGAAGAAAGTGGAATTATGAGTAATTGTTTTCAATTGATCACACTGAATCTAGGAATAATTATACGAGACTAACAACTTGTTGTAGGGAAATTTTCTCCGGGGAAATAGACTTCATCATGGTTGTGAAGAAGACGCGCACGCGTTCTCGTAATCCAGGTTATCCGAACCACTTGATGCAACCCGAAAATTCTGACACTTGGCCAAACAATAATTATTGTCATGAAAAACCTATCACAAACACAAAGCCTGCTTGCTACAACAACAATCGCAAATTTAAACAGCTGTTTTCACATGAAGCTGTGTTCTCTGCGTGAGATAAGCGAGAAATGAAGATACGGATCAACAGCTTCCAGGAAAGTAGGTACATATCGGTGCCAACACTTTTAATTAGGGCGAAACTGCTTTTGAAAATAATGAATGCATCCACCAATTTCTCGTAAATAAATACCGACTTCTGCAAATGAAAGATGCCAGGTGGTAGAGGAAATATACATATACCTGTTGGTTCCGTTACATTGCATGTGTGATCTTATTATTCACGAGAAATCTACAGCTAGAGCCATTGATCACAAGAACAATTGCACCCTTTTTAAATGTTGGCACCGATTTACTTTTCTAACGCGAAGAAAGACACACAACAGTTCGAGGGGACGCTTCCGATCGATGACTGAACGCGTCATGATTGACTTGCAAGCAGAGTATTGATTCGCGAACACTTGAAAACTGTTTGTGTGTAGTGGTAAGCGGTGATACAATAGGGCTAATAAACAACAGGACGTATAGTGCTGGTGTTTACTTTGTTCTGGTATGGAAACATATCTGGAAACAGACAAGGACGTAGTCAGGTTTAAAATCTTGAAAAATTCTAATTTGAAAAAAATAATCCTGTTTAGGATTTTAAAATTCCACCAAGCACAGGATGCAGCGAGCATTTGCTCGTTGGTTTTTAGTTCAAGACCAACAATTGAAATGGCTTTAACTCCATTTTGTAAACAAACCTTGTAAGACCATTTTCTCACGAACCGAAATCCGCAAAGGCAAACCAACATAAAGAACAGGTAGGGAAAATTCTCCTCTACCCGATTGTGGTTTCGGTTTGCGAATAAAGGTTTCGGTTCGCGAGAAAATGGCCTTACAAGGTTTGTTTACAAAATGGAGTTAAGGCCATTTCAATTGTTGGTCTTGAGTTGTCTATTAATTTGTAATAGTTTGTAATCATCAACAGACTCAGGCTCAGGCCGCCACCATAGTGAGAGCGAAAAGAAGCAAGAAGTCGAGCAAAGCGTTGAAACGAATGTAAGGAATAATATCTTGAATAATATCATTAATGGAAATTCACAATATTGATATTATTCCTTACATTCGTCTCTTCGGTTCTCTTCGCTCTCACTGTGGTATCGGCCTAAGTGCATTGTGGTCATTTTTAAAAGAGTAACATCCCGAGCAGGAGAAAATAACTAATGAATACCTAATTCTGACCTGATACCAAAATTTGGTATTGACCAGCATGACATAAGAGGTAAAATACCAAAGAATAATACAAAAAAATTATATGCAAAAGACTTTGTAAATAACAAAAATTGATATTTGAATACCAAAATAATACCTGTGTGGTATTGTTTTGATATTTAATTATCATAATTTGGTATTGGAGTGGTATTGTGGGAACATATTTTTTGTATTATTTTTGATATTTTATTCGTTCGTTATTCGAGATATTTGTTCCTGCTCGAGATATGAACCGTTCACAGTTGAACTGGTACATAAGCCAGTTTTGTAATTTTTGAGTATTTTGCATCAGCGGCATCATATTTATTAGAATAATAGAATAATAATAACGAGCAATAAGTCGCCGCGTGGAGTGAGTTTCTGTTTTGATTTTCTCTTCTTGGTCACACTGATCGTCACTCCGCGTGGCGATCAAGTTGTACTGTGCGCGCTGCATACAGACGTCAACAGTGACACACGGTGGGGTTGAATTCGTGTTTTATGCAACCGTTAATAAACGACTCAGCATGATGTGTTTAGAACAAAATTGCAACAAAACTAAACGAGATAGAAAGTTGGTGTCAAAGAGAAATTTGTAGAACGCTTTGAGAAGCATCTCTTAGTTAGACAAAAGAATGCACTTCGTTACGTATATTTTGAAATCATAAGGAAAAATACGTAGACAAATACCAATTTTAGACATGTTTATCTCTAAAATGTAAGTAACTGCAGCTTGCTTGAATCCAAATCCACTCGAACCTAATTCAAAAGGTATCATTTATAATTAAGTTATTTCAACGAGAAGTATCTCCACGGGGTTTTGGATGTTTTGTGAACCTCCTGGAGCCTATCTTGTGCTTCGGTTCTTTTTTTAAGCTTTCACGAAGTGTTATATACTACCAATCCCTTAGTTTTTATGAGGTTTCCTGAACTTCTTTTATGCGTTTTAAAATTATTTGAATTTTGTTTGTTAAAATACTAACTTACACTTATTTCCTGAATTATCTAGATCTTTTTATATTTTTCAAAGCATTTTCAAGATTTTCCAATATTTTCGGTGTTCCCTAAACATTTTTAAGTACCCTGAATTATTATGATTGACTTGCATTTCTGTACCGTAAGGTTCCCTTATATTACTTTGAGCCTTTTTTATGTGCCTGGGCTTCTTTAAATTTCTTCCCAACTTCTCTTAATACTCCCTGAGTCCATCTGATATTCCTTGACCGACAATATAGTTCCTTGAGCTGCTATAAATTTCACAACATTTTTAAAGTTCATTGTCCTTATTTCAGGGAATGTCATAAAATGTCAAGAACATGTAAATAGGCATGTTGTTTCACCTTTTTGGCCTATATATGGGCCTCATCAGAACTTGAAAACACAGGTATAGCCGTTGTTTAGTTGTATACAGGCAAAAAGACAAAATAATGTATTTACTGGGGTTGTCCCGCCCCCAGAAAACCCATTTGCCAGACTTCTCTTGAGATTACCTAACAGTCGTTCTGAGATTTTCCAAACTACAATAAAGTTCAGCTTCTCTAAATTTTGCTGAATTTCTCTGAACCCCACTGAAACTCTCTGAAATTCAGCGATATTTATCTAAAATTTACACAACTTCCCTGCAATTAGTTTATTTTCAATGAAGCTTTCTGAACTTATCAGAAAAGTTCTGCGACAGTCAGGGAGCTAATTAAATGAAGAAATTGTGAAGCTTGAAGAACTTGATTGATTTTCATTAATTATGAGATTTTCAGCCGTACGCTGATTCATCTCCGGATTGAAGAACTTTTGAGAAGATCTGTGAACTTGAGAGCTGTCTAGAATACTTCGAAGCGGTTCAAAAAGCTTCAGAGATGAGTTCTGAACAAGTACACACAACAACAATGATCAATGAACAAGTTCTGAGAGGTTTTAGAGATTTAAGAGTTATGAAGAGTTTCAAATGCTCTGGGAACTTAAGATATGTTCTAAAAACTTCCGGAACTTTCGAAAAATTCTATAACATACTGCAACTTTAAGTAGAGTAATGTCTCATTTTCCATATTTCCCCCAACACGATAGTGGCATTAGTTTGTGTGGGCGAACTAAAAGTTTCAATAAATTGACCTTTGAATCTTTGTACTAGGCCAGTTCTCCACATTATTGAACTTTTCGAGATTTTTTAGTTCAAATAAAGCGTATTTCAATGATATCAGATAGAGAATTCTGATAAGAAGGCCAAAAGAGTTTTGAGGAGAATTGTAGATGAACTCTAAGGACGATTGTATAGGAGTTCTAGGGAGACTTTCAATGGGATTTCAAAAGAAATTTCAAGTTATTTGGAGTAAAATTTCAATGAAATTGTAAGACGAATTCTGAGGTAATTCTGAAGAGACTATTATGGGGATTATTATTACTATTCAAGCGAACTCGAAAAGCACATCGGAAGGAATTTTAAGGAGCATTCCTATGGAAATCAAAAGGGAATTTTTAAAGTGAATTAACCATGAGACGAACATTGATGATATAACTACAATTCTAGCCGGCGCTGGTGGTGTAGCGGTAACCGTGACTTCTCACCCCAATGGGTCTGGGTTCAATCCCAGCCGAGATCGGTGGGATTTTTCTGAGGCATAAAAATCTCTGGTCACGTCTTCCTTCGGAAAGGAAGTAAAGCCGTTGGTCCGGACCCATGTGTGTTTGAATGGGTGCGATATCCTACGCAGGTGTGCAAGCTGCCCCCCTGCACATTCGATTGCCGCCAATGGATGGCAACCGATGTCCGTCGGTGATTGGCCCTAGGTTGCGGAACAGAGACCGATGTTAAATAAATGAATATAGGAATGAACTTGTACAATTCTGAAACTACGCCTAACGATCAGCTACGGCGGAAAATTGCTTAAATGTTCATTTATCGATTAATTAAAGAAATTTTTTGAGAAGGGCTACAATGACATGAATAATAATTCCAAGGTAGATTTATTAGATTAAGTTAGTTTAAAGATCTTTTCAAGAGAAATTCTTAATATGAATTTTGAAGAAATTTCGAAAGGTTTCGAAGTATTTGGCTGAGTATTTTTATAATATTCTCAAAGCAACTTTGTGTAGTGTTCCATGAGATTCTGAAGGAATTTCCAAGAGAATTCAGAAGAGAGTTTTAAGAGATTTTCAAGAGATTCTGAGAAGCATTTCAAGGAAATTCTGCAGAAAATTTATAAAGAATTCTGAGGAGAAATTGAACATTTTGGGATAGTACATTGCTGAATACTAAATGACATACCACGAGAATTCCAGAAATTTTCTAAGTGAATTATAAAGAACGTATTGAAGAGCAGCTCCACGACAAATGACGAATCGAAAAATCTCGACTTTCTTCTATTTGCATGAAACTTAACATAATTGATTGCTATGGCCAATGATTCACATTTTTGCAAAACAAAAAATCGGTAGTTTTGGATCGTGTAAAATTTTAAAATATTCGTGTTTGGAATTTTTCAAAAAAAAGCAGCACAGAAACGGCA